CTCACAGCAACCTCCAACTCCTGGGCTCAGGCGATTCTCTTGCCTCAGCCTCCCAAGTAGCTGGGACTACAAGTACCTGCCACAACACCTGGCTATTTTTTTTGTTGCAGTTCGGCCAGGGCTGGGTTCAGGGCTGGGTTCAATATATGGGGCTGGTGCCCTACCCAATGAGCCACAGGCACCACCCTGTAATATCTTTTATAATAAAGCAATAGATGTAAGTAAAGCATCTCCCTGAGTCCTGTGGGCCACTCTAGCAAATGATTGAGCCCAAGGAAAGAGCCCTGACTTATAGTCAGTCAAAAGTGTAACAACCCGCTGCTTGTGACTGGCCTCTGAACTGGGAGCAATATTGTGGAGTCCTTACCCTGTGGTACCTGACACTATCTTCAGGCAGGGAAGGTTAGAATTGAAGGACATCAGGCTGGAATCCTCTGGACAATGGCTTAGTGTGGGGGCTCCTGCAGCTGTCTATTCACTCACCTGGTTTCATGTCAGCACTTGCTGAAGCCCCCCTGGGCAGGCTCAAGGCAGTGGTAGGACCCTAGTATATGAACCTGCAGGGGCTAACCACACAGCCAGCCTGCCTTGGTGGAAATCCCCTGTCCCAGTGTGAGATGATTTTGAACCCTCAGCCCTCAGCAAAGATGATGGGCAGAAGATGGTTACATGACCAAGAGGCCGTACTTGGATTAGCCACTGTTGGAAAGGAGGCAATCCTCTTGCCACTGAGATCACTAATCTTAAACAATGGTAGCCTGGAGTTTCCAGAACTCCTCTTCTTCCCAGCTTGAGAGCCTGTCCAAGAGATGAAGAGAGAAATAGATAAGCTCTCCACCAATACCCCTTCGGCACCTGGATACAGTTGAACCTGAAGCCACTGGCTGGTGATTTGAACTGATGAGTTTCTCATTGGTTTGAGCTTCGTATCTGCAGTAATGGACAGATCCAGATAGTGACTTGGTACGTTGGTCATTCACTCCATCCCTCACTCTTAAGCAACCGGCTGCCAGCACTCTACCCCCACTCAGAAACTGAGAAACACCAGGGCCTGGGGAGGAAGGGTGGTCCCCACAGATACAGGTCTGGGGCCTCACGCACCTTGTAGGGTCATCTGGGTGTTGTGGTGAAGTTTTGGGTGAGTCTTCTTCCGCGCATCCAGAAACTTGATGGCTCTTTGTACCTCCTTGGTCTGTGGGTTCCCACACACTAACCTGTGTCTCTTGGGGAAGTAGAATCTGGAAGGTAGAGTGGGGGTCCCCTAGTTAGGGTGCAACCGGGGAACAGAGATGCATGTGAGCCCTACCTGCCACCCCCCTTCACCCCACTTACATCACGGCAGGCAGGTTGCAACTTCCGCTCACCTCCTGGTGCTGGTAACCCCGAGCACGCCGCAGCACAGCCCACGCAGGGCGGGGGTGGTAAGCCAGGCAGCAGTCCTCAAAGACACCTGCAAGCACACGGCCACCCACACACTCATGTCTATGCTGGGCAGAGATAGCCACACACATGGCACCTGCCTGCACATGGAGGCACATATCACAGCCCTTCCAGGCCTGGCGGAAGCCAGCAGAGGCTGAGGGACAGCCTGGCTCACCCTTAGCCCTTGATACTGGGACACCCAGTAGGAGTTGGAGAAAACCCACAGGGAAGGATGTGGAACCACCAAAAGAATAGGAAACAAAACCACTTCTACTTCTGCTCTGGGAGAGGGTACAGAGGACAGATGCAGCATCTAGGAGGGGCCAGACCACTCCTCCAGCCAACTGGTTGGCTGCTCCTAAGGTCTGGCTCCTATTCTAGGCTGCCCCATCCCCACATGGGATTGGCTCAAATACCTCTTCCTCTAGTCCTCATCACAGTGACCACTCAAGTCTCCCTGGCCAGAAACCGGAAGTTCTATGTAGCTTTACATAGCACCAAAGCATTTAAAGTTCTCTAGTTGTCAGATGTCTGGACAACACAGAGATGAATCAGACTTAGTGTTGGCTTCAAGGAGCTCCTCGCCTTGTGGAGACAGAGAAGTTGATCTATGCAGAGAGGGGGATGTGCAAGGACTGGAGGTGCCCAGGGGAGGAGGAGGAGGAGGTGATCATACCAGAAAGATCTGGGAAGATAAGATGGTAGGGGAGGCCAGGATGAGTTCCTTCGCCCCACGTTTGAGGTTCTCTGAAATTTGGCTCTGCCAGACCTTGCCTCTTTGGCATCCCCCCAACCATGACTCCTGAGGGTAAGGGGCAAAAGAGTCCATTGGAACCTCTGGAACTTTGGGCTGCAGTGCCAAGCAGGTGGTTCCCAAGGCGGGGGGCCACCTTCCCCCAAGGATCAAAGTGCTGGGGCTGGGCCTGGCTCTGATAGCAGAACAATGAGAGCAAAACTCAGCACCTCCTGGGCAAAGGCTAACCTCTCAGACCCAACCAAGAGGCAGGATGGGCCAGGAAGGTTGGGGACATGGGTCTTCTGCCTGCCCAGGCTCCTGGCTAGCTGCTGAAACTCAGGGGATACAGACCCAGTGTTGGGGCTCCTAGGGAGCATTGCATGCCCAGAGCTATCTTTTGGTGTCTGAAATCCTCAAGCACCTGCTCTGGGGTTGGGGTAGGGGAAGAGGGAGGGGTTCCCCATTAATAACAAGAATGATTATTATCAGTGTTGCTAAACACTGGGCCCAGTGTCTCCTGTGGGCATCAGCTCACTGGACCTTCAATCTGGTCTGTGTAGTAGGAGTTTCCTATTCCAGAGAAGAATGAGGCTCATAAAGACTTGAGTGGAAAATCTCAGTTGGACTGTATGGATGGGGATGGGGACAGAAATGGGAATCCACTGCTGTGGTCTCCAAGGCTCTGATTTCTAACCCTTGGCCCTCAGCCCTGTAGGGTTAGGACACTGCAATGTGTCTCTGGCTATAAGTGGTTTTGCCCACAGCTGAAGCCACCCTCTGTTACTCCAGCTGCTGGAATCACTGAAGAAGGAGCTGGTGACCCTCTGTCTCTACCCCCTACTCCAGGAATTATTCAAGTGCCAAGAGCAGGAGCCACCAGAGAATTCGGTAGAGTGGGATGGGGGGAGGAGATTGAGGGATCTTCTGAAAGAAAGAAGAGAAAAATGGGTAGAGACAGAGGACAAGGAAGATGGATGGGTCCAGGGAGGCAGGGTAAGTATGGCAGAAGACAGTACCTTGGGCATGGATACCAGGGGCCCATGCCCCCACAAAGCAGGCCACCAGGCAAGCCAGAAGCCACGGGTTCATGCTGCAGTCTGGTCCGTCTCCCTGGGTGCCTGGAGGGATTAATGGGTCCACCTTGAGGAGGTGGAAAGGGGTGATGAGGACCCTCAGGAGGATGGCAGCGGGCACTAGGACACCCCCTTCTCAAGCTAGTCCCTGAGGTACTCAGCAAGAAAAGGAGGTGGCACAGAATGGGGACAAGTCTTGCTGGAGGGAGAGACCTACAGGAGAAGGACTCACGACTCACCGAGGTGCACTGGGGTCCAGGGAGACTGTCTCTGCTGCCAGGGCACAACACCAAACTCTCTTGCTTGTGGGGCTAGCGGGGTGAAAGTCACTCTTTATAGACAGAGCCCCACCCGGCCACCACCTGCCCGCCCTCTGCTGGCCCTCTTCTTTCTTGTCCTACCCACCTCCTCTTGCAGACTGTGGGCTTTTCAGTCCTGCATAGACAGGCAAAGCCCTGCCCTCCATCCATGAGCACCCTCACCTTCCCCCATCCTGGGCCTCCCCGCCAGCACCCCTGTCACTAGGAAGGGTGCCTTCTCCCTCTCCACTTCCCTCACCTGCGCGCCCTGGATAGACACTGACATCCTGAGGACAGGTCTTGGGCTGTCCAGAGCCCCTGAGAGGAAGACTTTACCTCTGCTTCTCACCTTCAAGCCACCTGCCTCCCTGGGTCCCCGACTTCACTCCATTTTTCTCTCCTTCCACACAATGGGGTGACTTAACATGTCACAGACATGTCCTAATTCTGTGAATAGGCAGGTCTATAGAAACAGAAAGTTAAGTTTGTGGTGGCCATAGGGTGGGGGAAGGGAGAATAAGGGTGTGAAGAGAGTGATTGCTCAATAATATGGGCTTCTAGGCTGGCAGTGATGGCTCACACCTTTAATCCCAGCACTTTGAGAAGCTGAGACAGGAGGATTGCTTGATGCCAGGAGTTTGAGACCAGCCTGATTCTCAAAATGAGACCTTGTTTCTACCAAACATTCTAAACATTAGCCAGGCATGGTGATGTGCACCTGTGGTCCCACCTACTTGGGAGGCTGAGGCAGGAGCATCCATTGAACCTATGAGTTCAAGGCTGCTGTGAGCTGTGATCAAGACACTACACTCTAGCCTGGGTAACAGAGTGAGGCTCTGTCTCTAAAAGAAAAGAGTAAGGGTTTATCATTGTTCTAAAGTTATGTAATGGTGATGGTTGCATAACTACATAATGGTTGTGATAAATGTCACAGAATGGTGCACTTTCCATGGGTTAAAGGCATGCCTGGCGTGTGAATTTTCTCCGACCTTATCTTGAGAATAATCTCAACAAAGTGTTATGAACAGCCATCACAACAAAGAAATGCTCTGGCTTCAGAAGAACAACTGGAAGCCCTAGATAGCCATGCCTGAAGCAAGCAAAGCAAAATTCATGGAGAAGGCATTTCTTCTTTCCCTTGGGTCATTGGGACCTATCTCCGACGGGAGCAAAGGAAGCCAGGAGGTGGGGGTGAGGGAAGGTGGGCAACGGGAACCGCAGAAGCCTCACAACTGATTGCTTTTAACTTTTCATTGCCCACATCCTTAGCTACATTTGACCCCTTGGAACCCCTTTCTCATTTTTTACTATTCTGGGCCAGGCCACCGAGCTTAGCGGGTGGAGCTTACAGCCAGAGGCGGGGCTTACTGAACAGCACCAAGAGCTGGGGCGGGGCTGAGTCGGTGGAGGTTTGTAGTGTGGGCGGGGCTTGACAAACAATACGTTTAGTCCGGACCGGCTTACATTGCCACCCCCCGCCCCTATTCCAGCAGATCAGATTCTCAGCAGTCCAGTTGCCGCCCTCAAGTCGGTCCTGGGCGTTGCTCCAGTTCCTCCGCCTCTTCTTCTGGTGCGTGAAGCTGGGCCCGGACGCGGCTCCGCGTGGCTGCGGGCTTGGGGACGCAGCGTGCTGGGCCGGGGCCAGACTCCCCGCTACAGCCCACTGCCCCATACCTGCCCTATGGTTGGGCAGCAGCCAAGACTTGACGTTAGTCAGAATAGGAGGGGTGTGAGTCCGACTCGCTGACTCGCCCCTCTCTGTTTGTCCCACCGGCAGCCTTCGGAGAAAGGGGCCTCACCTAGGGTATATGGGGATGAGAGCTTGGGACCCAGGTGTCCAGGTTGAAGCCACGATGCTCAGGGAGGGAAACGAGGCCCTGAATTAAAGCCCTGAATTCTGAAGACGACAGCTGCTAGAGTGAGGGCCAGATCACAGTTGGGGGTTAACTGGGAGAAGCCAGGCCTCCTCCATTCCTGAAGCTGCCGGAGGCATTAAGTATCATCTACTGCTAGCAAGGTACCCTTTTCTCTTCAAGTGTGAAATTTGCACAGCTAGGGAGATGGAAGCTTCCCTACCCCATTCTAGCTTCTGATAGAGGGCAGTTGGGGATGGTCTCCAGCCTCAGAGCCAGGAGGGTTCAGAGGATAGACAGGAGTCTTCCTACCCAGTCACTCCAGTGGCTGGGTGGTGGGCAGGGGCGAGGGGGACTCTTGGGAAGCACCCCCACCACCCCAGGAGGATCCTCCCAGGTACTCACAGTTGGCCTAACTGTTCAGAGGAGGAGACTGAGGGTCTGAGAGGCTAAGTTTTATTGGGGGGAGGGTACCCAGGAAAACTTGATTTTTATTTCTTCAATATTGTGACAGAAAGGGGGATAGTCCCCTAGTGGGGATAAGTCTTAGAGCTAACCTGCGGGATGGTTAGCAAGGGTGCAGGGGCACGTGGGGGGGGGGGCTCCTGCAGTCACTTTTGCTTATCAGACCCCAGCTGCTGAAGCTTTAATACTTCAGTTCCCTGTTTGGCCTCTGACAGAAGCAGCTGGGCTGCCCTCCCCCAATAGCATCATATGGACTATACCACATACCAGGTGCCTGTCTCCAGGCCTGAACTCCTATTGTGCCCAGCTACCTCTTTTTATTTTGAGACAGGAGCCTCAAGCTGTCCCCCTGGGTAGAGTGCTGTAACATCACAGCTCACAACAACCTTCAACTCCTGGGCTCAAGCGAGTCTCCTGCCTCAGCCTCCCAAGTAGCTGGGACAACACCTGGCTATTTTTTGGTTGTAGCTGTCATTGTTATTTGGCAGGCCTGGGCTGGATTCGAACCCACCACCTTGGGTGTACGTGGCTGGCACCTTAGCCACTTGAGCCACAGGCGCTGAGCTGGCTACCTCTTTTTAAAGATAATGTGTTTGAGGCCTTTCTTCTTTTTTGATGTAGGCAATTTATTGCTACAAACTTCCCTCTTAGAACAGCTTTTGCTGCATTCAATCAGTGCTGTTATGTTATATGGCCATTTACTGTTTGTCTGGAGATATTTATAAATGTCTCTTTGACCCCTTGGTTGTTTCGGGATGTGTTTAATTTCCACATACGTGTGAATTTTCTGAAATTCCATCCATTAACTATTACTGATTTCTAGTTTCATATCATTGTGGTCAAGAAAGATATTTGATATAACTGCAGTCTTCTTGAATTTGTTCAGACTTGTTTTGTGGTGTAACATATATTTGATCTATCCTGAAGCATGTTTCATGTGCACTTGGGAGTAATGTGTATTTTGTTGCTGTTGGATGGAGTGTTTTATATATGTATGTGAGGTCCTTTTAGTCTAGAACAGTGATTTTCAAGCAGTAATTTCATAACATTGGTATGCCGTGAGAGGATCTTAGGTGTGCTGTGAAATTTTTAATTCATTAATTAAATGATTTTTGAAAGAAGTTCAGGCTCGGTGCCTGTGGCTCAAGAGGCTAAGGCGCCAGCACATACATCTATGGCGGCAGGTTCGAATCCACCCGGGCCTGCCAAACAACAATGACGGCTGCAACCAAAAAATAGCCGGGTGCCTGTGGTCCCAGCTACTTGGGAGGCTGAGGCAGGGGACTCACTTGAGCCCAGGAGTTGGAGGTTGCTGTGAGCTGTGATGCCACAGTACTCTACCTAGGGTGACAGCTTGAGGCTGTCTAAAAAAAGAAAGAAAGAAAGAGAAGTTTAAAGCACAGTAAGTATATTCTTTTTTTACTTTTTTTTTTTTTTGAAATAGAGTCTCACTATGTCACCCTTGGTAGAGTGCCATAGCATCACAGCTCACAGCAACCTCAAACACTTGGGCTTAAATGATTCTCTTGCCTCAGCCTCCCAAGTAAGTGGAACTACAGGCACCTGCCACAACACCTGGCTATTTTTTTGTTGCAGTTGTTTAGCTGGCCGGGGGTGGTGGTGGTGGTTTTAACCCACCACCCTCAGTGTGTGTGGCTGACACCATAACCACTGTCCTACAGGCGCCGAGCCTTTACTCTTTTTTTTTTTTTAAATAACATAATTTAAGTATGCCATGGAAGTTTAACTACAAGTTCAAGTGTGCAACAAAATAAAAAAGGTTGAAAAACACAGCCTATAGTTCAAATCTAACATTTCCTTATTGATATTCTGTCTGGATGATCTATCCATTGCTGAAAGTAGGGTGTTGCAGTTCCTTACTTTTATTGTATCGCAGTCTCCCTTCATATCCATTCATACTTGCTTTATATATTTAGGTGCTCTGATGTTGGGTGCATATGTAGTTATAATTGTTTTATCCTCTTGATGAATCGACTATTTTATCATCCTATAATGACCTCCATTGTCTTATTTTACATTTTCTGACTTTTAAAGTCTGTACATCCACTACAAGTATAGCTACCCTTGCTGTCTTTCAGTTTCAATTTGCAAGTCGTATCTTTTTTCCATCCTTCATTTTCAGTCTCTGTGTGTCCTCACTCCAGCTGCCTCTTGCTTTGGTCCAGATGCACAGTGGTTGTCCAGCAACCAGAGAAGGGGACACAAAGGGTATTTTCCAAGATGCCTTGCAAGCCCTGGACTGACATTAAAGGACTTAGTTTACAGACAGTCCCTGACATAGTTGGCTCTTCAGCCTCCTGGAAGGTTGGCTTTAAGGGGTATCCCTCCTGTCTTCCAAGGGGCATCTGTTAGCGGTGGCTGGGGTGGGGGCTGTGGCTCTCCAGGGGGAATCAGATTACTGGCACTGCCAAAGCCAGTAATGCCCTTGGCCCCAGTCTTTGTGCTTCTCCTGCCCATGCAGGATGTGTGGGGGCAGACAGCTGGGAAGGGTGGGGTGGGGAAGAGAATGGCAGGGCTTGAGGAGAGGGTCCCCTGGGGTCCTGAGTTTTTCTTCCAATCTGCTTCCACAGATCCCCTCAATGCAGGTTTCCTTTTCTTTGTTTTGTTTTGTTTTTAGAGATGAGGTATTGCTCTGTTGCCCAGGCTGATGTGCACTGGCATGATACAGCTTACTGCAATCTCCAACTCCTGGGCTGAAGTGATCC